CGAAGAGAGAGAGAGAGAGAGAGAGAGAGAGAGAGAGAGAGAGAGAGAGAAGACAAGGATAACTTTAATAGAAAACTTCAGGAAATTTAATATTGAGAGGAAAATACTTTTTGAAATGTCAAAATGAGGTCTGGAGTAAAGCTCAGTCGTATTACTTGTCTACTGTACACAGGGTCTAGTTTTGATACTCATATCACAGGCAGAAAAAGAAGGAGGGGAGAGAAGGAGGGAGGAAGTAAGTATGAAGAGAGGAATGGAGGAAGAAAACAGGGTGGTTGGTATTAAAAGTCAGAATTCAAAGGAAACACATTCATGTAAAAGAAGAATAAAGGGTAGTTTTATGATTAAAATTCATTGATTGATACAGATATAACGCAGCCATATAATTTTGAATGCTATACATCATTGGTTCTATCATGAGTTGAAAAAAGTGTTCAGTTGTAGAAAGAGAGGAGAGATAATATGACCAAAGGGGTCAAAACCATGATAGGGAACCCATATAAACAACTGATGCGAGTAAGTGAGAGTTCTCTGACTCCAGATTCAAATATTACAAACATTATAATATTTTAATATTATGCTGGGGAATCTGTATTAAGACCAAAGTAGGTCCCCCAAATGTGGGCAATAGTTGGGTGTCTTGGGCATTTTGTAGGGCTAATAGCATTAGAACCAGTATTTATTCCTAGTGCATGAACTGGCTTTTGGAGCCCATTACCAATAGATGGATACCTTGGTCAGCCTAGATACAGGAGGAAGGGCCTTGTTCCTGCCTCAAGTAATGGGAGGCCTCACCCTCTCTGAAGAGTGGGTGAGGGACAGGGTGAGGAAAAAGTGGGGGGAGTAGGAGGAAGAGAGGTAGAGGGAACTGGGACCAGTATGTAAAATAAGATCATTTTAATAAATAGGTAGATAAAGAAAGAAAGAAATGTATAAATAAGAAAAAAGAAAAATTAGCACAATATGTCAGTATTTATGAAACCATTTAGTACATATTTCAAAAATTGTGAAGACTATACGGTCTTTGAAAATGTGAAATAACAGTGATTTAAGTAAAATCAACTTTGTTGCTAAAGATAATAACTTTAAATACAAAGTTATAATTTAATTATAAATCATAAATCAAGGGACAATAAAATATTATTCAAATCAATATTTCTGAAGACATGCAATACAATAATTAGGAGAGTTAAGTAAAAAAAATCACACCTCGAAATTTTAATATTATCTCTACATACTTATCTCAAAAGTGAAAACAATGCTACTCCAGAATATATAGCAAGTAATTCTGATAATATTAATCTCAGAATTATGAATCATAAAATTCTATACAGAAGAGATCTGAGTTCACGAATAAAAATTTCATTCTTAAATAAGAAAATATGAAAATAAATTACTTTGAAGAATTCTTAAGTATCTTGAAAAATGTTACAAATTTAACCTTCAGAAAGGCATAATTAAATTAACTCATGAATCAATCTCAGAAAATAATAAACAGTAAAATAAACCCAAGATTCGGTGACTTACAAGTGCAAGAAATAGATTCTATACTTTCAGTGTGGCAAAGCAAAAGACAACAGAACAACTACAAAAAAACAGGCGCTGTAACTTTACTTATGGGAAGCAGGAAAAGAGTAAAGCTTGAACTGTCAGTTTTAAAACTGAAAACTGAAACATGCATTCTAAGCATTTTGAAACTCTTGATGAATTCACTTAGAAGAAAATCTTAACTATTTAAACTACTTGATGAAAATCATTCATTTCCTTAGATACTCTTGTAGCATCTGAAGACTGTGGGAGCAGAACCAAGACTGAAGGCATGGAATGGGTTAACACTGCAAAGGTAGATTTCTAATGTCTAAAGGCTTCCCAACCCTTCATAGCATCCCTATTTAATACCTCAGGTGTTTGATTACTTACATTAAAAGAAACTATCTGTCTCCACATAGAAATAGATGTAATGTTCATAGTGGGGGGTATTTTCTGGTTTTAAAAATATACATTATTGTTTCTTAGCTCATGTGCAATGGCACTAAATATATATTTTGAATGAATACATGAATAATAAATGAAGGGATGAGATATCACTTAGTAGAGGGAAAACCAGTTGATGATTTCTGTTACATTTTGGTTTGGGTAAATGAAGACCAAGCAGTTTTGTAGTGTCATACACAGAAATTACAGTTGGCTAGAGTATAAAACCACAGGGATCTGTCTATGTATACAAAAAAGATGAATGAAAGGAAATAAAAGAGAGTCCGAGGAATATAGCAGAATACTGAAAGAGGAAGATGAAGGAGAAGAAATAGGGAGAAAAAGTCTGTCTGATTGTCCATGATCTTGTAAATGTTGCTGCTTTTATACAATAAGAATTCATGTGGACCTTTAATCCCAGCACTCAGGAGGCAGAGGCAGGTGGATCTCTGTGAGTTCGAGACCAGCCTGGTCTACAGAGCGAGTTCCAGGACAGCCTCCAAAGCCACAGAGAAACCCTGTCTCGAAAAACCAAAAGAAAAAAAAAGAATTCATGTGGAACAGAGGCTTAATTTATATAAAAAGAATCTTTGATAAGTCATATGAAAAAAATCACAGTTGTTTTTGTTATGCTTTCTATATTCTCTTAGATATGTCCTTTAAAGAATGAATTATTCACTTGAATATACATCAGCTATAATTACTTATCATTTTGTTGCTAGGATTATTTTTTTTCTTTGATATACGGAGAAGTCCCATACGAAATGCAGAGCCATGTTAAGAACTCTCATTTTACTTTGGTCAATGAACTTTATAAAAGTGGTCTTTGTAGCTTGCTCAACATCATTAACAGGTTCCTCTTACCAGTACATGTTCCTTTTTAGTAATCTCTGTGAAAAAATACCTTTAACACTAAAAGGAACTTTCAAACAAAAAATAGCCATATGACATCTATCAAGGTCATGTATAGATTATTTAGCTTTTAAGTCAATATACAATGCTTTAAAATATCTATATATTAGGAATAATGGTTATAGTTTAGGGTAGTGGCTGGGAGGGGTGGAAATATGGGGAAAGATAATTGACACTAAAGACATTTCAAAAAAGTCATTTGGAAGCCTAGTACTATAGAAGTTTACTAAAATGCATACGTGAATATATATATATATGTATATATATGTTAAGAGAAGCTTTTTCTTTTGCTAGCCGCTTTGGTTTATCCCCCACCAGTCGCCTGGGCTCTGCCGCGCCAGCCTGGTTCTAGATCCGCATGAGTCCCAAATAAACACACAGGAGGCTATATTAATTATGAAGCTGTTAGCCTTGTTTGTCTCTTACTGGCTAGCTCTGCCTTAAGTAATTACCCCAAAATTGTTAATCTAAGTATGTTTCTTACCGGAGAATAGTCCCCGGCGTCATACCCCCATGGCGTCACATGTTGACTCTCCTGTGTTTCCCCTTCCCAGAATCCTCCTCGACTCCTAGTCCCTCCTATCTAGGTTTTCTATTGGCCAGACAGTACTTTATTGACAAATGCACAGGCAAATAACAGGACTTCCCCAACATATATATATATATCTGTGCGTGCAAAAAGAATGTAAATATATTTACTCTATTATGGGTTGACAAAACCTCTACAAGATATCACAGGCTAACAAAAAAGTTTATTGTCAAGAGTGGGTTATCTCTTACATAGTTCCTGGCTAATGAAGCCCCGTAGACTCTTCAAACATTAGATAGCTAAGAAGAAAAATATTCATCATATTTCCCAGCTATGAACCCTTGGACTCTGGAAATATGCCAATTACCTCAATAGTGACATTAATATCATGGGAGTAACCAACCACTTTCTGATTAGATTTAAGGCCCAGTCCATCAGATGAAAAATACTTATACAGGATCAGTATTTATCCCTAGTGTAAGAACAGACTTTGGGAGCCCATTCCACATAGAGGGATACTCTCTCAGCCTAGACACATGGGAAAGGGCCTAGGCCCTGCTGCAAATAATATGACAAACTCTGAAGATCCCCCATGAAAGGCCTCACCCTTCCTGGGGAGCAGAAAGGGGATGGGATAGGAGGTTAGTGGGAGCAGGGGAGGAGAGGGGAAGAGGGAGCTGGGATTGACATGTAAAACAAGTTTGTTTCTAAATTTAAATAAAAAAGAGAGGAGAAAAAATGAAAAAAAAGCCCTATATGTGGCACCATTACTGGGGTCAAGAACCTGTAACTAGAAATGCCACAATCCCTATATTCTGCTAAATGTGCACAATGTTAAACTGACTCCCTATGACTTGTTAACTCCTCCATGCATCTTTCAACCTTCATCAGACAGACCACCTGAGACACACAACTAGCCAAGGTGCAAAGTATAAGAGACCACAGGGTGCTCAACCCTAAATGAAATGCCTATTCCAACATTCCTTCTTCCCAAGACCCAGGGGTTATTCTGGCTAAGGGAATGGGAAAAGTGCAAAAGCCCAAAGTGATGAATTACTACCAGGAAACACTGCCACTTAGATGCAGCAGTAAAGGCTGCACATACGAACTCCCAATACCTGAACAAGCTCAAACTGGACCAAATCCCAGCATGGGAAAGAGGACTGGCAACTGATAGTCCCTGGAAGAGGAATAGTTGGTATTGTATTCTCTTTAAAATGAATGACCTAGTATGTAGACCAAGTTCCAATAAAAGCCACACATCAAAGAATGCACAAGCAACCCAAATTATACATGATGGCTTCAAAAAAGAAAAGGATACAAAGTTGGGTGGGTAGGGAAAGTGAGTTGGACCTGAGTGGAGTGAGATTGGGGGTAAACATTATCAAAACACATTATATGATATTCTCAAATAAGTAAAAAATTGCAAAACTATCAATGTATAAATTACCATTTTATATTTTCCTAGACTTGTACCATTCTTACAAATTGTCATTGATATTTTCATGTTCTCTGTTTTCTACCTACAACAAAAAATTTGACCAAGCAACTAAAACCTTAGAAGGAAGGAGATGAAATCAAATACCTGAAGAGAAGCTTCTGGATGTTTTTCTTTCAGCACTGGAGCAGCTGGAATTTCTGGAGGAGGCTTTGATGTCTTCTTTTTGGCTTTCTGCATTTGAATGTTGGTGAAATAGTTGACAGCAGCAAACTCAATAAGAGCCGAAAACACAAAAGCAAAACAGACAGCTATGAACCAATCCATTGCAGTCGCATAGGACACTTTGGGCAAAGAATGTCGGGCACTGATGCTTAGGGTAGTCATCGTGAGGACTGTCGTTATTCCTTTAATGCAAAAAAAAACCAAAAAAAAGAGATAAAGCATTTTACTGCTATATCTACAAAAAGACAAGCTAACCCAAAAGGAGGAGACAGGATAAGGTTATCAAAGTTACTACTAAGTGAAAACCACCACAACTGAGGGTTTGATCCTTCCGCTTCCATGAAATCAACACAGGTTTGGGAGTGAGGAATAGATATGTTCGGTTCCTTGCTCTTGTAATCACCAGTTCAACATGACTTGGTTCAAGATTGGAAAGGTCATTAAGACTTCTTTGTACACTCTAAGTTTACTACTAACTTAGAAATATGTAAAACTTATATTGATTCTATATTGGAAGCTGAAACAATACACCTGGGTAATCAATATACAGACCTCCCACAAAGGATGACTCATTTAAACAGTGACTCTCAGACAAGAATGGGAAGCCTGGCACATTGGCCTTCAAAATGGGAGCTGATAATTATTGTCAGCAAAATCACAAGTCCTATATAAGTTCTGATCATTAAATAACTACAATATGCTGAATAAATTAATGCATTCTAGATCAATTTGTAAATGTGGGCATTCACCATAAATCAATATACGACTTGAAGCAGAATAGTTGCAATAAGAATAGAGCCCTTCTTCTACCAATCATTTTTGGAAATAAGACTTTCAGAAAAAGTGCTTTCTTAAACTAGAGAAAAGGTTAGCCACCATTTTTAGTAGAAAAACACTTTGTCACTAAAACTACAGAGGGTGCTAATAGTTGCAAAATTTTCCCTATCTCCATGGATTTACATTTATTTAATCAGTGTTATCTAGGTTACCCTGGAAATTCCTGGAGGACTTACTATATCCACTTGTATTCATTCTACATAACCCCTAGGACAGGTCCTGAAGTCTATATATCCAGGTACCAGTAGATGATGGTGATAGTGGTGGCATAAATGATGGTGATAATGACAATGATGAAAGCATCTTAACTGTATATGTCAATTCATGCCAACCCCCAGGGGAAAGGCAATTAATCCATGTTCAACTGAAAAATATAGGATTTTTGCAACAATAAAGGAGTAATCATACTTTAATTTGAAGAAACAATGATACTGTATCTTCAACTTAGACTCTGATGATATTCTACCTTGTACTACACTTTTACTGTTCCACATATGTGACCCTAGAGAGGAGTGTAAGTAGCCTAACATCATGCCTAAAAAACAAAAGCAATGATTTCATTATGCCAGCTGATGCCTATTCATGATTAAAGCTTAGCCATATTGGAATAACTAGCAAACTAAGAATCAGACAAATTTCAAGATAGAAGGCCTTTGCGAAAAAATCAGCACATCCTGTTTCCAGTTAGACTGAGTAGAGTGTCCTCAAGAGGCACCATGTTGAATATTGCTTCAGGGATCACCGGCTATGTAGTTCTAGATGCATCATAAATGATGCTCAATAAAGAAAAATCATTGTTTGTTTGTGTTTAATCTTTGTTCTCCAAATCCAGTCACTCCCTAAGCTATTGGTTACTAGAAGATGGAAATTTGGAGCATCTGTGTATCACATGAATTAAAATTTTTTAAAGAACATTCTAAAACTATGCATCAGTAGGTATTACATAAGTAGTTTAATAATTTTAATCATTTTCATAGCCAAAAGCATATTTTGAGATGTTAATATATGTATATATATATATGTTTATATGCATGGGTCTGTGTTTGCATATGAATATGAACATGTATGTATGATGTGTCTGCCGTGCATGTAGGTGGCCAGAGGCCAGAAAGCTCATTGGATTCCCTGAAGCTGGAATGACAAGCCACTATAAGCCAATTGATGTAGATGCTGGAAACCATATGGGTTCTCTAGCAGGGAAGGAAGTCTTCTTAACCCTTAAGCTGTCTCTTCAGCTCTCGTGAGGCACATTTTTAAAAACCGTATTCCATTAAGTATGTAGATTAACTGTGTATCTACACCAGTGGCACATTGGCACATAGTGAATTTGTCAGACTTTTTCCTGAAAGAGACCTTCAAACATTTAGGTCTCATTCTAAATGTCAGAAAGAAGGCACAATTCTCCTAAAGGCTGTGAAATAAGTAAATAACTACTAAAGTAATGTCAGAAACTTTAGCTACAAAGTTTAAAGATAAATTATATTTCCTCTTGCTCATGACAATTTATCTGTAATGGACTATTAAGAATTCAAAAGTGTGCCACAAGTTCTGTGGGTTTCTCCTAATGTGACAGAAATGATGCCAAAAAGCACTTGCAAGTAAAAATATAAGAGTGTGTTCCAAATGACAATACTAGCCAGCGTTCAGAAAAGTCTCCAGAGATCTACTTTGCTAAGCAAAAAAGGGAAAGTCAAATTTAAATGCAAGGCGCTTAAGAGTCCCTTTGTTACTGTAAACTTTGTTCTTGTTGTGGGTGGTTAAATGATTTTTTTTCCTGCCAATAAAAGAAAGTGTCTTCATCTTGCCTACTGTCATGTGAAAAAATTTTCTAGGTGATATTCAACAGACAAAATACTAAGGTCATTACTGAATTATGAATTGAGTAATGACATTCAGTTGTTCAGAATCAAGTTGATGGCTTACCTTAAATCACACTGCTTCTACCATGCTTATATCAACACAATAGCATGCTACATATGGCTGTCTTACATTTTCTTTCATGGTTGTTTTGTTTATGGAATGGCCCTCTAGATAGTATGGTAGCTATGTTGTAACTGTTGACAAAATTGGGAATGTTGGCTGATAAGAACAATTGTCTCAAAATTAGTTTAAAATTTGCCATCGTGTAACACTTTAAAAGTTCTCTGTCTTGTGTCCAAATTGGAAAAAAACAGTAGGAATTTAGGAATGTGCATATTCCCTTTCATCAGGTACAGTACTTGGCAGAATAAGCACTGATCAACAGAAAACAGAAACTAACTCTTTCGATAAGAACCCCTCCCTGACAATATTTCAAAGATAATTATTTTTGTGTGTTCAAGTATTGATGCCAGTCCATGCATTTAGAGTGCTGAATATGCACCATATTGGCTGGCCCAGGAACCGGGAGAGGAAATGAAGGAGTAGGCTAAGACTGTACACAAAAGTGAATTTTTGGCTGGCCATTCCTAGAAAATGAAATAGCAATGATTTGAATATGCCAGCTGGCATCTACTTGCATTTAATGTTTAACCATATTGGAATAATTAAAAAAACTTAGAGTCAGACAAATTTCAAGATAGAAGGCCTTTGGAAAGAGTTCCACATATCCTGCTTCTCAGACGTGTGCTGCTTCAGGGTTTTGTTCACTCTGGTATCATCTGTGACCCAGCACACTGTGTCTGTGTAAGTAAAAGGAAAGATGAGAGCTGAGGAAGAGCAATACTACCCTAGATCTCATATGGAGTAAATAACTAATTACCCTAACCATGTTGGGCTTTACTTCCCTAAGAAAAAAGCTATTTTAGACCCTTGATACACAGTCTAATAATTACAATTGTGAAATAGCTTACGTTCTTGAAGATTTAATTGTAACTGTGATTTTCCTGATTGATCACACTAATATTGATCTAGGCATAGACACGGACAGGCAAATTTCTTATTCTGAATGAGAAAATACTACTGGCAAAGTATTCTCAATCAGAAGTTCTGGAATTTTTTCACAAGCCCTTATTGCAAGGATAGCATGACTGAGTTCTCAATTTTACATATATTGTCTTGGTTGTACCACTTATAATTACATGACTTGGTGAAAGTTCTATATCTTTGCACTGTTTTCCTTATCTATAAAAATTGAGAATGCCTACCTTTCTTGCTGAACTATTGTGAATGTTAAGTAATAGGACCCCACAGCGTTCATTTACTCCCTGTTGGCACTAGTAATACTATCATTTTGCCATACTGCTTAATTTCCATGTACTCTCTTGCTTATAGAGGAAACATTAGCTGAGGTCAGTTGCAATGAATGTTACGTCTTCCCACACTATTGACTATTGCTCATGGACAAGTAAGTTCATCAACCAAAAATAACAAAATTATATGCATTGTCTGCTAAGGATTTTTTTCAAATGTTTTACTCAGATTAATGCATTCAATCCTCTTGGCAACCCTAACAGATAAAGCAATTCAGTTTGTTTTAATATGTGAGTTAATAGACAGACGTGTGTGTGTGTGTGTGTGTGTGTGTGTGTGTGTGTAGATCCAGAAATTTTAAGATTTGTATATGAACATGGTGTGGTGTATGTCTGTGTGTGTGTCCATGTGTGTGCCTGCATGTTCTTTCTCATGAATGGCAAGGAAAATGCCAAGTGTCCTCCTTACCACCTTTATTTCTGTGACAGGGCCTGAACATCACCATTTTGGCTACACCATTTTGCCAGTGAGCTCTAATGATCTGCCTGTCTCTTCAACTACCCTCATCACTACAGGGATTACAGACACGTCCCATTGCCCATAGATTTTATATAGATTCTAAGGATCCAAGCTCAGGTACCCATGCTTACACAGCAAGCTATTTTCCAACAAAACCATTTCCCCTCATCCTTGATTACTCTATGCTAGAACAAGTTAAAGGACTTGTATTTCACTCTCAGTCTCAGCTGTTCCCTCTGAACATAATATATTAGGGCTCCAACATCATTATGTGTGCTAAATAAAACCAAGAATGCCAAGAACCTCAACCTATATAGGGAAACACACAAGAAATTCATTTTCTTTAAAACTAAGGAAACTGAAAATTAAATCAGTTTCTTTGCTAGGTATGTGTAGGATATAGAATACAGTTTCTGGTATTAAGCACTCTTTAAACCCTCACAAGTTCTTAGTTATGTGATGGTCCCTGAATGAAAACTTCACCTACATTTACTTTTGCACGTTGGTCAATAGTGTTTCTACACTATCACTCTGATAATGTCTGAGAACTGTACTAATTTATGGATAGGGAAACACAAATTTAGAGATTGTTTACCCCTATATTTACTTGATGTAATAATGGTAGTAGTTTCACTCCTGGGGTTTTCTACAGTACAGCAAGCCTTAAATGCAATTAGAAAGTGGTTTGTTGTCCCCACAACCTTCATGCAAATATTCTACCCATGGGAATATATTACTGTGTTGGTCATTGTAGTTCACATGATTCACAATTTGGTAAGACTGTTCATGACTTTTCTCCCCAGAAATCTACATAGCACTCACCATTACCATGAAAGCTAGCCAGTGGGGAGAAAACTTCATGATCAGTATCAACTTGATTTCTTCAAGTCTTGTGACTAAAGTGAGCTCTGTCTTTAGCAATAGGGTCTTACTATCATGCTTTGGTTGGCAACTAACAGTCTTTATTATTTATGGGGTCTTTGAAACATACCTAACCAACAACTTGAGTGGTGGCTTCCCATATCTGACACAGGACTTTTTTTTAAATCTATGTATTCTGCTTCTTGGAGAAGCACTGTGACCTCTGTATGTTAGTGCTTATTAAACGCTATTATATGAAGATAGATAGATGATATAGATAGATGGATGGATGGATGGATGGGTAGAGATAGATAGATAGATAGATAGATAGATAGATAGATGAATGAATGAATGGGTAGAAGGCTGGATAGATGGAGAGTTGGATACACAGACAGATGATAGATAGGAAGGAAACATAAAGTAGTAGGATAAGTGGTTGAGTACTGGTGCAAACAGTATCTCTGGACATGGTAGAACTGATACACTCAAGAACTCAGAGCAATGTGGTTGCTTACATGGGACCTGAACAAGATCAAGGGAGATAACATTCTAGTGGGAAGGAGATCAAGAGCCCACCTCCTTACTGAGGTCCATTGAAAATTTATGGCTTCTTGGAGAGGGAGAGTTAATGTTCTCTAAGGGTATGGCCTTTATTATGACTACCATACTCCAGTGGATAACCCCACATCTGTAAGTATATTAGTAGCACAGGTGGGACACTGTGGGATCTTATTTTTAAAAATAAAGAGAAAAAGAAGGTAGAGGTTTAATCTGGGAGGAGTTTGATGGAATAGTGGGGGACGGTGAATATTATCAAAAGATAATGCATGAAATCTTTAAAAAAAACTAATAACAATGTTTTCTAAATCTTCACTAGCTTTGAAGGGGAAGTATATTAACTCAATTAATGGATGGAGAAAGTAAGTGGCATATTTGAGTCTTAAACTCTAACCTTTCAATGTTAGTATCTAATCTTTAGACATATTTTTTATATTTCCTTTTCACATCTATATTTAGCAGTTAACATTATTCTACAGCTGCAATGTGCAGTCATTTAATTAAACTTTCATAACTTTATGAAGAAGCTCGAACCAAACCCTGCCTCTGACACTGATTCTCTGTATGAGTTTTAACTATAAATCAAATACTGTCAGCATTGCAGAAACACTGGGCATATGTGGAAGAAATACCTTTGTAGGAGAATTTCAGTTTTGTTGAGGACAACAAGACACTCCTGTCTCTGAAGATGGGGAGTGCTATGTTTTGAATCCACGATGTTCTTAGTGGTCATGTTTTGAATTCTCTGACCCCAGTATCAGTATGGTGAAGGTTGTGGGACCATTCTGAGTGAGGTCCTGACTGGCTGATTATCAATACATGGTCTCTGAAGGTTACTCCGGTCCTGGTAACAGCTGATGATCTCTACTTCCTCTCCACTGAGGTGGCAGCAGGCCTCTAAGGCTCCTTCCATGGTTAGTGCTGCTACTGTCTCCATTGTAATCTGTCTGAAATCATGAGCCAAAATAAACCTTAGCTCCCTGAGCTGGTTTTGTTAGGGATTGTGGTTCTAGCAAAGTAAGGTGAAAGGCTCCCATGAATTTCTCACCATCCTTCCTGCAGCATGGTGGAAAATGTTGTACCCTCAGTTACATCATAACTGAAAGGCAAAAAGGAGAGATCAGCGTCTCTTACGAGACCTATGCCTCCATTCTGCAAGAAGTCTCATCATGTCCGCTCTTTTGCCAACACTGAATGATGTTGATAAATTTGAAAAAATAAAGAATAGATAAGTATATTACAATAGATTTAACTATAAGTGATGTTTTGACATGAAAGCATCCCAGATGTAGATAAGACTTATTTAACACAAAAATGTTAAACCTATACATTCCAAGAGGCTTATCATTTAGAACACTATAGAGGAACCATAATAAACACAAAAAGAAAAACAATTCTAGTTTAGAAAAAAAATGGAAGTTATGCACATAGAATACACTGAGCTGAGAGACTACACACAGAATACTTCTCCATTCAGTGTGTCTAAGCCATTTGCAGTTTGTTCCTTTTCACTAAAAACCAGGTTCCTCTAAGGCTTTCATGTGCAGTCAGCCATGATTTGTTTTATTTTAAGATGTCTATGCATTTCATTTTAATACCTAGACATGATTTTAATTCAATTACACAGCATTAGGCTAGCAGCTCAAGAATGTCACTGGAAGTGACATTATATCCACATTTCCACTTGATTTTCACCTGACTGGTGAAAGGGACCCTCTGTCCTTATCTCTCCAAGCAGCAGTATGTTATAGAGACCAATTAGAAACGAGCCCTTAAATAGTTCCTTACTCAGTTTGGTTTGGTATATTAATGTGTAATATTTTTCTAAGAAATATCAAAGGGTTCTTCCTGTGAGTCACCATCAACAATGCAATGTGAACAAAAATACCCAAGAAATAAATTGAAATTACCAAATACAGTTCTAGCTGGAACAGACTCCTTATTTATCCAGAAGGAAACTTGAGAAAGGATCACTGTCATAATGCATGGGATATATGTCTGAATCATAAAATAGCCCATCTTCCGTCTGAGGTGGAAATAAACTGTCATAACAATGTATTCACCTGTCAGAAAAATAAAGAAAATGCATTATTGGTCTTGCAGTAAATTATTCATTTGCTTTGTTGTCATACACTACACTAACAATCAGCATTCTTAGCAAATGAATTATTTTTTCTGCATATTTCAATGAGAAATGCATAGTTCCCTACTGTGGGTAGGAGAGCAAAAGAGGATGACATTGAATGTCATTATTATTAAGGAAAATGATGTTTTCTATGTACAGATTAAGCAATTTAATAATTGCTATGACTTCAAGAAATGACAGTGTTTTTTGTTTTAAATGTCAAATACGCTAAAGCTTACATTTTTAGAATTTGCATTGTGTGTAGTATATGAATATGTACATGTTTATGTGTATGCACACACACTGTATGTTCACTTTTTTGTGGAAGCCAGAGATCAATGCTGGGCATTGTGTGACTTATTCTGTAGCTGTCTAATCTGTCTGTCTGTCAGTCTGTCTGTCCATCTGTCCAACCATGCATCCATCCACTCATCCATCCATTCATCTACCTGAGACCCAGTCTGTCAGTGACCCTTGAGATAAATAATTTTGAAAACTAGTTGACCAACAAACCCTCAGGATCTTTCTGTCTCTGCTTACACAGTGCTAAGATTGCAGGCACATGACATCACAATTAGCCAGTTGTGATGGGTCCTAGGGATATGAACTCAGGTTCTCATGCTTCCACAGTGAGCATATTACCCAGTGAGCAATCTATCCAGTCACAATCATCAGTGGTTTTAAAAGCAGTATTTAGACTGGTGTCCATGAGCTCCCACATGCTCAGGTCAGCTATTTCTGTGGGTTTCCCCAGCATGGTCTTGACCCCTTTGCTCATTACTCCTCCCTCTATACAACTGGATTCTAGGAGTTCGCTCAGTGCTTAACTGTGAATCTCTGCTTCTAGAGAATCAGCATAAGACCAAACCAGGCTCCCTGAACATGGGGGTCAGTTTCCGGGTTTGGGCAGTCTATGGGGCCTCTGGCAGTGGAAACAGTATTTATCCCTAGTGCATGAATGGACTTTAGGAGCCCATTCCATATGAAGGGATACTCTCTCAGCCTAGACACACAATGAAGGGCCTAGGTGCTGCCCAAAATGATGTGACACACTTTGATGATCCCCCATGGGAGATCTCACCCTCTCTGAGGAGTGGATAGGGGGTGGGATGGAGGGATGGTGGGAGAACAGAGGGTGGGAAGGAGAGGAAACTGGGATTGGTATGTAAAATAAGATTATTTTTAATTTAAATAAAAATGAATTTTTAAAAAGCAAAATTTTCCAGGCAGTGGTGGTGCATGCCTTTAATCCCAGCATTCAGGAGGTAGAGGCAGGTGGATCTCTGTGAGTTTGAAACCAGCCTAGTCTACAAGAGCTATTTCCAGGACAGCCTCCAAAGCCACAGAGAAACCCTGTCTCAAAACCACCCCCACCAAAAAAGCAGAATTTAGACTTTTTATTTATAGAAAAGCAAATGGCAAATGTAAACATACATACACAGAAAATGAAAAGCTTAATTTTGGAAAACATGAAATATATAAATTTCTATAAAATTACATAAATATGAACATATTTTACTCAAACACATCTCATATTTGTCATACCTATACATGTACAAAAGTATAAGGAGAAGCTTCATTAATTGTATTTCTAAGTGAGCACACATAAGTAAAGGTACAAATAGATATAACAGAGACATAACTTTAAAAATCCAGTATGTAAATAAACAATAAACCTTCTGGTAGCTTTTGACAACCATTTTTATTAGAAGGAATATATAGAGAATGTTATTTAAGATCCAGTGAATATTTGCAGATTAAGCCAAATATTTATAAACCTCTACTCCCAGATGTGTTTTCAAAACCACAGATGGAAAAACCAACACAATTCAGAATGTCACAAGAAACAGAGGTGCCTGTTAGGGGGCCATTGCATTGTTTCATAATTAATGTAAGAAGGATATGCCCAAAATGATGATGCACGTGACAGGTACTGGAATGACACAAGACACTGGAATTTGCAAACATTGTGACTGAGGAGGCATAAAGATTGTGAGATCCAGAGGATCAGGAGGTTTGCTGCGAGATCATATGCTTCCTAGTTGGTGTCTCCTAGAAATAATAGAAGCTACACCATAGTGTCTCACCATCATAACTGCCTACATGTGGACTAAATAAGCACAGTACCAATTGACATGTCAAACTGGAAGGAGAAAACTCCATAAGGCCTCAATCCTGTGCAAAGACTATAGGCAACTGAGGAAAACCAAGACTGAGAGAGGTAGTCCTCCCCATGAAAGAGCAAGCGAATTAATGGTCCAGTGCTATATTTAGGAATAAACATACTACATATACATATATAAATAAAGAGAATGTGAAAAGGTATATGAAGGGTTTTGGAGGGAGGAAAGACAAGGGAGAAATATTTTAAATATGATCTCAAATATGAAAGCTCAAAAAAATACATCAGAATTTGGGGGAGAGAACAGTGCCAGCAATTTATAGCAGAGAGTTGGGATTTATACAAAACAGTTTCGAGTGGCGAGACAGTGAGTTAAAATATTTCACAATAAACAGTCTTGTGAATTGATTTTAACTTTTAAGAATTAAAGTCCTTTCGCTTCTTGTCACTTGCTTTTAATTATTAGACCACTTTTTGAGGGATAAAGGCATGTTCCAAATCCTGTCCATATTTAATGTATACACTATTTGATTAGTTTGGAGATTACATATTCATCAGGAAAAATGGCAGGCCACAGTCTGTCATAGAGGATCCATCACCCACAAGCTTCTTTGCAACATCTTGCTTACTGTATTTTTGTGACAGAAACATCTGAAATCAGTCTTCTTTGCAAACTGTTAACAGTATACACCAGGTGGTCTGTTACTCCCTGGGATTACTTATTTTGCAATGCTGACAATGTGAGCCTAGGTATTCTTATCTCTCCTTAATCCCTGCCAAAGCCTGGAAAGTCGAAAGTGCCATTCCACAGTGCTTCCATGAGCTTGTCTCTTTTAGATTCTTTCCCCTTCACATCAGTGCGTTATCAATACATTCCTTAAAACAACAAAAAGCACTCTTCCTCATTTCACTCCATTGTTCAATAGCTTGTAATAACTATTCTGCTTCTGTTTTGTTTGTTTACCTAAGACAGTGACATCCAGGGCCTTTTAAGAAAGTTCATAGAACTCAGAGAGTCTATAAATTTGGGGCCTTGACATTTAATAACTGTATGAGCCAGGAAAGTTACTCAAGTACATTATATTTATATACCCCTCATTGGAAAAATAAAGATGGTACAGTCCCATCTCCACAGGGTGTTTATGAGAATTCAATACAAGGAAGGAATTGTGAATGATCCCTGTGAAATGGTAACTGCTGACTACATTTTACCTCCCACTTTGTCTAAATACTGTTTATACAAAAACTCACACACTGTGCCTGGAACAATGGCACACTTTCAATTCCAGCATTCTGGAGGCTGAGGCTGAACAAATTCCACTGTAAGGCTATCCTGGGCAAGCACCAAGACAAACTGGTCTTTGTGAGATCCTTCATCAAAAAGAGGAGGGGGAGCCACATATTGAAGCCTAACCTCCCATGTGGTAATGTTAGGGACTGGTCTTTGATAGCTGATTAGCATATGAGGGTGGAGTAGTCAAGGGGGCATTAGCATTTGTATAAAACAATCCACCTTGCAAATCCTTCCCTGTGTGTGTCCCAATGTGAGGACTCTTCCAGACAGGACTATTCCATGTACCAGGAACCAAGTTCTCAGCAAATGTTGAGTCTGCTGACATCCTAAAGCTGATCTTTCCAGATCTTAGGCTTGAAAACCAAGTCTGTTATTTGTTTAAATACCCAGTTTGTGATATTTGTAGTAAAAGTGCATTAAGATAAATATCATTAATTATTCCCAGTAAAATGTGTATGGAAGAAACACCATTTTGAAACAAATAGTATGTAGTCAATTTTCTCATTAGATGTGATAGAAGCTAAATCTTAAGATTATTTCTATTCATATTTAAAAATCCAAGAATCACCAGTATAGCTACACATCCACTTGTATGACAATTTTAATGTGTACTCTAAATATACTTTGCAAGCATGCTTTGGATTTTGCTTTCACTTTGGAACAAAGAGCAGAAATGACACCATAAAAAATTGGGTAATATTAAAACTTTTGAAAAGCACCACAAAATCAGAGCCAGACTTTTTCCTCATATTTTGTTGAAAATGGTTTTAATATATTTAATTATTGGCTTTTGTTTCTATTTAAGAAAAGTCTATTCATTTCTCCTGTCTCATGAATTCAGAATTTATTTTAAACTAAAGTAAGATTATAAATATATCAGCTCTACTTCTGGGAAAAAATTCCCCCTGAAAACACTGAATATTACAATGAAAAGACTAGGACAAAGCTCCATTGCTGAGTAGCTCATTGACTTCTGCCATTAAAAATCCCACTGGCAGGGGATATCTCAATTGGTAAAGTTCTCAAAGTTCTCGCCATGAAAGCATAAAGAACTAAGTTGAAACCACATTTAAAAAAAAAAAAAAGCATGGGTAGTCCAGGTTTGTAATCTCAGAATGGGAGAAGCAGAGTTTGGAGAACCCTGTGGCTTAAGGACCTGACTGCCTTGCTTTCTCAACAAACTCCAGGACAGTGAGAGACCAAAAAATAAGATGTATGGACCTTAGGAATGACCCCCTCTGACTGGTCATGTATACACGCCCATATCCCCACATATACGCCTACATACACACATGCATACACACACATGTGTGAACAAAAAAAGCACACCCACACAGACACAGGTGTGTGCATGCAATCTCACCTGTAATAGATTTGATAGTCTCACTGGATACAGTCTGTCCAATCAGGTCATATTGAACCAAGCTAGAAGACTCCTTGGGGACCTCCACTGACTTCTCAGGGCCTTTGGTCCAGGTATAGATCATCTCGCTCTTGGGATACGCATCTTAATAAGGGAAAAGAGTATGCTTACAGTTAGGACTCCTCCTTGGCCAATCTTAAAAATCAATACTTAATGTGACAAAAGTCCAACAACAATAAAAGGGAAAACAATACTCATTATGCCACTTTAAACATGTTCATAATTTAGAAAATTATAGGTTTTATTGTTTAATGTCAAAAGATGGAACCAGGTGAAGAATGAAACTAAAGCAAAAAAGCTACATTTGTATTAGTGCAGGTGTCATATTGCCATTCCAACAAGGCAGGTAGCTTGAAAAGCAGATAGACCAAGCCTCCTAAACAGCTGTGAGACTCCTAATTCTTTCATTTCCTGTCTATCCTTACTTGGACAATCCCATACAGCTCTTCCATCTAGAAATGTACCACATGCCACCTCTGGTAACACAAGCAAAACCAAAGAAGTCTCCTTGTGAGGGAGATCTCCAGAGGTCACCTGCTTTAGACTGCCTCTAGCCAATGCCCATGCCATTTGGAAACCATTCTGCAGGGTTCTGACTATGCCTATGCTGTCTGCAAAGTTCGCCAGGGAATTACACAGCCAGTTCCAGTACCTTTAGAAGCTTGCAATTAGGACACTTTCCCTTCTATCTTCAAAGAATCCTCCCCACTGGCAATTTGAGTACATTTTCTGTTATTCCTTGTTTAGTGCAAATGGAGACCAGCTGCTTGCTTACCACTCTACCCAAAACAGATAGCTTGGCTCATGCACAAATAAGTTCAAAAGAACCGGAATGAATTATGTGTCATCCTCCCCAACAAACATCCCTAAAATGGCTGGAACGCAGGAGGTCCCCGGTGAACTTGTTTAATCCTACTAAAGGAGTCCATAACCAGAGAGGTTTTCCTTATAGATGACCTTGGAAAACACACTACTAGGCTTGAGTAATCATCCAACATTACACAGTTTCATGTCAGCATCTATCTCTGGGAGTGTATTCACATTGTTATATATTTAAATTCTTGCATGCTATATTCTTATCTATTTTATTTTTTAACATCAGGAGCCATCTCTTGGATACCCTACATTAATAGAATAATCTTTTCTTGCATTGTTCTTATTTTAAGTATAATTTGATAGTGGTTTTATCTTTCCAAAAATAATATTGAGAATTAATTTACTCAGCAAAAACTCCTTACTGGTATAGTATGGTATAGGTAAATCAAAATACTTTCTAAAAACGTGATTCCTTTTTTCAAAACTTTTTGTTTTATTTTAAAACAATCTTTTCTCAATTTACATACCAATCCCAGTTCCCACTCCCTTCCCTCCTCCTGCTCCTTCCACCTTACCCTGGCCCACCCCCAAATGCTTGAATTGGCTTTTTGGAGCCCATTCTCTTTGGAGTGATACCTTATTCACAAATAAAGCCTGATTCACATATAAAGCAACTTCTCCTCACTGCCAGAGTGCTTCAAAGGAGAACCAGAGAGGTCTTAGAAGAGAAGACTTTCTCAGATGAAAACTATCTTTTATAAAATTCAAATTATTACAGTAAAAATGTAATTTTAACTCTGTCCCAGTATTCTTCTGTGTATTCTTCTGTTTGTATCTTGTCTTATTAAATCGTTGGTCAGGGATCGAATGACTTTCTCTAATCTCAAGTTAGCCCACTGAGTATTGTGATTACGAGGTCTATAAAAAGAATGGTGACTGCCGATTCTCATTAAGTCAAGCAATGAGCAATGAGAACAGCAGGCACTGGTTTCACAATCAGTGGAACGAAGAATCTGAAGCAATAGTAAAAGCCAGAATCTATTTTTGGGAGATTCTGATTGAATTGAATGTTGGAAGCAGACCTCACAAGAGCAATCACATTTTGTTGCCATCTCGGAGAAAGGAGCCTGAAGAGAGGAGCCTCACATCCTTTACTACCCACTCATATATTCCCCTTGCCTTCATCTCTGCTAAATTTGCCAAACACGTCTATTTCACATTTGCTTCTCTCATGCCAGCCTAGTCTAACCAACTGCCATCTTTGGTTGCACAAAAACAGCAGGCACCAGCTCTTCCATGCTTCCACTCCAGCCGCTCTTCAGCCCATTCCCACAGAAAAATATGTCAAAAGAGGCCATGTGTTATAACTTTCAAAGCCTTCCCTAGCTTTCCAATGGAATTTCACTTCTTAATGGCGCCAACAGTATGTTGGTCACTAAATTCTCTCATACTCCACCTCAACTAGACACTTGTGACAGTTCAGCTATTATCACTAACCGTGAGAGTTTAACTTGAGTTATTTCAGGAAAAAATATACATACATACATACATACATATATATATATATATATATATATATATATATATATCCTTTTCTCAAGCCACCTTTAAAGGATTGTTAAATCATACCCCCCTTCACAGTGCACTTTCTATGCTATACCTCTGACACAGACAAACTATTTCTAAATATCTAAGTTGCGCAAGTGTCCACAGACTTATTTGTTAGGACTCAGTCTTCTATCGCCTTCTGTAAAAACGGGACTTTGTTTGAGAGTATCACATTGTCTTTTAAAAATTAATAATTTAAATAATTAAAGCTTGTACAATTTTCTCACAGATAAGGGTTTAAGTGCTGGATAATTAAAATTGTGCAAATGCATAATTATGAGCTTGAAGATGATAATCAGAAATTTGAGCAATACTTTAATGTCACTTACAACTCCCAAATTTCAAAGGGCAGGCATGACCATCCATAGGGAAATCCACCAGTCTCATGGGACACTCCGCACTGATGGTGAGTCTATCATGGAAAAATGCAAGTAAGTAAAATTAACCCCCTTTTAAACATTAACATTATAGCTTCTTATGATGGAGAGAGAGAGAGAAAGCAAGAAGCGTGAGAGGGAGGAAGAAGTGGGGAAGAGAGAAGTTGTGGAGAAGGAATTTAAAAAAAAAAGAAAGAAAACTCCATTACCTCATTGTGTATAAAATAGTGCCATTTCTCATAATTCTAAAAAGCTTATTTGGAGCTGTCATGTTATGTGAGACAGATTTCTTTCCATTCCTGAAGAAAGTATCAGGGGTCCAAACTTTGGTGACCATCATATTGTTCAACCTCAAAATTTCAATGGGGCCATCATATTTTAGTCTTTTGTCAATCCACGTCTGTCTGAAGAACACATCCATTGTGTATTCCTGGGGAAGTTGGTTTGTGACATAGTCAAGTCATAGGTGACTACATCCATACATATGCAAAAAGTAGTAAGTTCTAACCTCTCCCAATCATAAAAGATGACACCAGTGAAAATTAAAATAAGCAGACATGATCTTAAATCCACAGAATAAAGAGATTCGTAGCAAATATGCACTGCAAAGTCCATTTTGACCCCTTCAGCTTTTGCATTCATAAGAAGTAAATCACCATATTCTTTAGTCCCTGAGGACTAATTACTATAATTAAATAAAAGCTGCCAACACCAGGCAATTTTATATAAGAGAACAATGCTTTATATAAGAGAACAAGTATCAGTTAATATGCAACAGGTATCACTACATAATTTATCATAAAATTATAGGTTATTTCTTTAAGATGAAGCCAATTTAAAAAAAAGACAAAGTTTGTCTTCAAAAGTGTATTAAGAATTACCTAAAGAACCCATGGTTTCAAACCATCAGGAGCTTCAGGTTAAACAAAGTGTGGAGTAATTATGTTTATCAAGTATATTTAATATATGAGAGCACAGCAGCAAGGAAGAAGACTTCCTGATGAAAGCTGGCTCTCTTGACCTCCTTACACATGAGGGGAAAGGGTAGAATCAGAGGGTGGGAAACAAGCAACTGAGCCAGTGAGGAAACAAAGAGGCTGTTAGAAATGTAATGTCATGTACACCATTAATTTGCTCATTTCCTTCTTCTTAGTAGTTTCCAGAGAAGGCCTTGCTGTGAGAGTCATGCAAGAAAGACCTCTCTGCTGAGAAAGATTCCAACTCAGTAAGTGTAAGAATGATAGCTCTAGGATACAGATGGAATATCACGCTCTTTGGAGTCTTTTAAGTGTAATAAAGCATTAGTTTTGTGTGATTGACAATATAACAAATAGTAATTGACTCATTTCTGGCTCACTTTCTCCAAACCTCTGAAGTTTCTCAGATACGTACCATTTCAACATCAGAAACAGGTCCAAAGCTGGTGACATATATGTCAGTTTTCACTTCTGTAACAGGACCTAGTAAGTATGAAGTAAATAGGTGTGAAAAAAACAATTACCAACATTACAGCCTTGGAGGAGTAGATAATTAATAAATGAATACAGATATGAAGTGTCATGTTTCTACATGCATCTTGAATTTTCAGTGAGCTAACCAATCTCTCAAAAAAAGTGTAAAGTTCAGTTTAGAGTGCATCCAAATCAAGCCAAAAGTAAAAAGTAGAGAAAGAAAAGCTGTGTTTGCTAAGCAGGCAAATGATCACCCCAATTACTTACCAAGAACCTGTATCTACAAAGAATCATCATCCCTGGGCACCGTGATAACAGGCAGTGCAGGCACACACAAGCTTTTAGCCTTAGTGTTTTTTTTTGAGTCCATCATCTGATTGGCCTCTAGAAAGAAGTGAGCTATTCAGGGGATGAAGCAGCAGGGTGTAGGAGTGAAGAGGACCAAAGCTGAAAGGAGTGGGTCTTTGGGGAGTTGAGGACACTTGCAAGTAACTTCCAAAACAATTACTGTCACCTTTAACAATAGGAACACCATCCACTGGTGATTGGGATCCAAAACAAGGTCTTCTGTCAGTGACAGCCATTCATGCTGCACCACCTGTTGGCTGTGCGCTCTTCAGCAAGTTGCTTAACCGCATGCTTGATTGCAGCACCCACACCTGTCTCACAGAATTTTTATAGCAATCAAATGGAATGCTGAGCACAGTGGCTCCTTCATGCAAAAGCTCATTCCGTGTTAGTTTCCCTCAGCTGCTGCTGAGATTCTTCACTGTCCAAATAAATCTTGATCACGAGTAAGCAAGCATGTGCACGTTTAGACCAGAGGGAAAGGTAGGGGCATGATGCCAGTATTGTTGACACAGAAAACAGGCAAAAAATAGCACCCTTCTCCAGGTATAGCTTTAAACCTGTCAATTTCCATAGTTCAGATTTAACTCATAATCCTGCCTGGTTGAACAACTTTAGTCTGGTAATGCACCTTCAAATGCAAAGATTTTAACAAGTATTAAATGTATTAGCTGTAAATCACTTTCTAAGGACATAATATGTTCATAATGTGTTCAGTTGTAACAGTAGTTATTATAGGTAATTCAGCATTTTACCACTCATAAAAGTATAAAAATTATTGCTCCCTAAACAGTGTATCCTTAAATGATGGTTTATAATGCTGCATGGCCAGAGGCTACATAATCTATAACTGGATACTATAGCATCTGCTATTAAAATAGAATATCACTTGGACGCAGGTTGGGAAATTGGGTTTATGCCAAAATGTCAAAGTGAGATTGGTGTCACTTAAGGCTATAAACCTGAATTCAGCCTCAAGAAAATGAATCTAAACATTTCTCCCTCCATAGACTAATGACTGGGCCACACAAAGACAGAGAGAATGAGGAAGAATGAGAAATTATTTGTAGAATGAGTGTCCTAAGAAACATGGGTTTTGGAAGTAAAATAAGAACAAAATTACAGCACGTGCTTTTATTTTTACAACATATAAAAGCACCTCTTTCAAAGGGTAGAAGTTAATTAAGTTTTGGATTGAATGAGAAACTAGAAACTAGAATCAACAACAAATGGTCATAATAAGCTCATTAAAACCAAATTTGTACAGAAACAACTAATTCAGGAAGCAAATACTTCCTAACTTTTTTAACTCAAGGAGACAGAAATATTACTCAAATTTTCTCAAAACCACTGTCATTTTCTTAGAAACAATTGCAAAGGTGTCAGAAAGAAGAAATCCTGTGATTACCAGAGAGCGTTCAGGGAGACAAGCTTACATAAACAACTAGGGTTGATAGTGTCCTGACAAATAAGCTGTTTTACCAGATTCTTGGTAAGGCAAACATTATTTTGAAGATAGATTTAATATAGTGCTGCTCAAAAGTTATAGGAGAATGACCTGGACAGATGGGTTAAGTGCAGATTCTTGGGCAAACCATCAGATCTGCAGACTTAGTAGGAACAAGGTTGCACCTGACGATTAGCAGTTTTCTAGAATGTTTCAAAAGGAAACTGTCCAGTTTGCTGTTGCTTACCAACATCCACTAAAGCTATTTTCTATACAATATTTACAATAGTTTTTGTTGAAATACTGACACCACAGATGAGTCAAGAGAGCGAGTGTGATGCGGATGTGCAGGAGAAGCATGGGGACGATAGTTTTTCTTATTAATATATTGCAAACTGTGTGAGCCTGTGCTAGTTCTGTGGCTGTAATGTCCCATGATCATAAAGTACATTTCAAAGTTATTATCTACCTAAATTCTACTACATTTGCAATAGTTCCAAAATACTGTTCTATGTTCAGAATTATAATCTCAGTTTTTGTGTATGACATTATCTGGTATTTGCTTATAATATTACACTGCACTTTAAGATTGAGATTCTAAGTGTACCTGACTGGTAAAGGGATTTTTTTTTAGGCTATCCATTCAATAAGTTACATGCCAGGTTCTAGAGGAGTTTCCCAGGTACCATGGACAGAGCATCCACCTACTCCTGACTGGCCCACCATGTTTTAATGGCATCTTTTAAGTAACACATTTATAACATATGCTACAGTGAATACTGTTTAAACAACAAGCAGTAGGAATTGCAGAGTGACAGCAAATGGACCAGAGATGGAAAAGAAGATTGCTGTGGACTACATTATATTCCCCTCACATTGACATGTTGAATTCCTAACTCTCAGTATCTTCTAACAACTATTTTTAGAGATAATTCTCTAAAAATGTAATTGCATTAAAATGAGATCTTTTTAACGGTACTCAATCCAATATGAGTGATTGATGGCTTTACCAAAAGAGATTAGAACACAGAAACTCACCGAGAAAGAACCATATACAGACACAGAGGAGATGCCTTCTCCAGGCCAACAGACCAAGCTTACTGATGTCTTGATACCCCCAAAGCTGTGAAAAAACTAATATCTGTCATATTATCTACTAGTCTGTAGTACTTCATTAAGGAGACTCTGCAAAAGTGAGCATATAAGACAGCATTTTCCTTATATTCGCCAGTCCCTGAGTTTTTTCTTTGATACTAAATTTAGTTCTGACATGAACACAGGCTGCAGTAAGGAGTTTGACCTGTACCCCACAAATATTGACACACCATCAAAGCATGAAGTAAGGAAAAATATGATTGAATTATATGTTTTTAAAAATCACACAGACTCTTTCTTGTATGGGAAATTAGTTAGAGGTGACGAAGAGCAGAAAGAGTCTTAGAAGAGGCTGTTAAGTTACACAAGGGGACAGGACCAGAGTATGGAATGGGAATAGAAAGTAGAGAAATCCAGTGGCATGTATTGTGTATAGTAGCTTGTAGTAGGCTGTTTTTTGAACCAACGTACAATGAGCAAAAAAATTATTATATATTTAAGTACTAGTTTTAAGTCAGACAAGATGCTACATTCATTCCATATGGCATTTCATCTTAATCACACCGTTAAAAAGTGCCATGATCACTACCATGAGAATTTTGTATATCTGGGAATTGGGTTCACAGAGGTTGTGGCAGGATTCTAACTCTTCCTCTCGACATCCAAGATGTGTTCTAGTTTCAATGTATTATATTATGTCATAAAACAATTAACCAGTTTTCATCTATCTAAATATGAAACTGTATCACACTATCTTGATTGTGCATTCTGGTATACCTACATTCTCTTTGTTCAACAATAGGTTCTAAATTATATTCTTGTGGCCCTTTGTGCCTTTCTTCAGAGTCCTTGGATCTGTGCTTTCATCATTAGCAATTGAGATGAAATCCCAGGCCCTTTCAAGACCCAAACTGGCACAGAGCTTTGTAAATATGAGGTGCTAATAATTGTTTCATTGTGTTTATGATATCATCAGTCATGATTTTTAAATGCTCCTCACAATTCTTCAAATATGAGACTTATGTACTACATGAGTTAAACTAAAACATTTCCCAATTAAAGCAGAACCTGTCTGATTTATATTTGTATTCTCCCATAGAACCAATCTGTCATCTGAAATGCAACAGGTCTCTGCTAAATCACTTGTCAATGAATAATGGTAGCTATGCCATTAAGAATAATTCTTAGAGAGATACTACTTCTAATGCTACTTTTTAGAATGTTCAAGTCAACATTGCAAAGTTTATAATTGCATAGAAACTGGAGAATTTGAGCTTGTAAAGATTTCTTCCCACACCTGTAGATATATTTGGGGAGCATCAAAGACACTCTTACTATTTTTTTTTTAAAAAAAGTCCTACTTCTTTGGTAATGGGAAATTTTTAAATCTTTCTGTGAGGTCACACCTTTGACCCTGAGAGTCTGTTAGGCTAAGAGAATGACCTTCATCAAGGGCCAATCACACAACTTGCTGGAAAGGCAATTAAGAAACTATCAGATAATCCTCTACTGTTCATTCAATAGACAAAGACCTAGATAAAGCACATCAATTCCTAATTTCTTCTCCAATAATGGTATACAATTTTCTGTTATATCAAAAATAAAAACCCATTTGACTGGTCTGAGAACTAGTCAATCCTAGTTCTCCACATTATCTCCCTTGCTAATCTCCTTAGAAAACATCCCTGATTTTCAGTCATCCATGTTATGCACAAACATACACCATACAAAGTGCCAGTTGTGTCCAAAACCAAAGATACTTCAAGAACTTAGGCATACAGCAGCAATAGTATAATTCTCAGCAAGTTGTAGAACAGTATTGCATTTAATGGATATTAAATAAAGACAACTGATACCCAGCTCGAAATCTAGAAGTTACCTTGCCATAGAAGACATTAAAAATTAGTAACTTCTACATTTTATGACCCTCCTCTCAATATTGTCTTACTTGATAAACAATAAAGTCTTCAATAACAGCAGCCAAAAAGCTCAATTCATTATTAATATAACATATTTATAAAATAAAAATCCCTGCAGCCAATATAGATTTTAAAAGACTTACAGTGATACTAGAACATGATGGAAACAATAAATATTAAAATTCTCTCAAAATAAAATTCCATTTCAAACATTCCCATGGACACACACACACAGAGAGAGAGGGGGCAGAGAGAGAGAGAGAGAGAGAGAGAGAGAGAGAGAGAGAGAGAGAGAGAGAGAGAGAGAGAGAGAGAGAGAGAGAGAGAGAGAGAGAGAGAGAGAGAGAGACTTTCCTGCTGCTAAAGTATATGTGAATCCAAAATTTATGTTCATTGTAAAAGGGAATTTAATTTTGTAAACTCACCATGGAAAAATAGTTTGGCATTATATCTTCAAGCTGAACTCCTACTTACACTAAGATCCAGAAAAATCCACTCCTGATATATATGCAAAAAAAAACCTCTTGCACATTTACAGCAGGAAATTTGGGCCAGAATATTCACAGCAATACAATCTGGGAAACAAGCAAAAACCTACTGCCAACAGAGCAGACGAATGAACCGGTTCTTATGCAATGCGAACATCACATAACAAGCAAACGAAGGATCAACAGCACTATGCAACAAAAAGAATGCATCTTATCAATGCATCATTAAGTTTAAGGCATAGCAAAAGCTTATATACAGCAAGTTAAAGATAATTAACTGTTTTAAATGTAATTTAAAAATAAGGATAGCCTAAAACACCCATTAGAGAAAAGCTATGGGATAAAACAATGGAATAATAAGGAGGGGAGAAGATAAGGAAGAGGAGAGGACTGAAGAAATGTACAGCAAACTTCAAGTTCATATCAGGGTTTGCTCCTTGGATTGGATGCTAGGTAATTGCTATGATTATTATATTTTAATAAATGAGTGGATAGACAAAAAGAAGGTTATATGTGGGATATAGTGGAAATATATTATTTAAAAAATCATCTTGTGTACTCAAGGAGTCTTAAAATAAATATATTCAAAAAAAGGCCTAGAGTATAAAGCAGAAATAGTTTATGACATGCAAATGTAAGTTAAAATGTTTTATATGAAATCTGAAGCCCCACTGAAACTTTACCTAAAACCACAGCAGTTTACTAATATCCTGATATCTATATTTCACATAGTCTGTTTCAGGACTTAGCAAATGTATTAGGATGTCCTTATTCCAAATAAAATTTAAATATCTGACAGCACCAATATGTTTGTTTTCTTATAAACTTGTGTAGAGTTATGTTTCTCCCATACACCAGTTCTCTCCATTGCAATATATATCTATGTAGCATCAAATCATTACTAACAGTACATAAACAACTTATGATATTTCTAATCTCAAAAATTTATTTCCTTATATTCCAAATATGTATTTCCACATTCCTTAAAAATATCCTTTCCATATTTAAATTTCTGGAAAAAATCAGTACACACTGCTCCAAATCTTCCTTCCTTTCCCGTCCATCCTCTGCTCTATTCTGATTCACTGAAATTTTTGTTTATATCATGAGTTTCCCCCTTGCAAACTCATTGTTCTCACTAATGTTTAAAACTGTTTTGTCTTCTATTTTTAAAACAAAGTTCTATTTCATAAAACACATTAATATCTTATGTTTAATGTTTAGCCTGTATCCTCAAAGTGACAATTAGTGTTTATGTCTTTTGCCAGCAATAACTGTAAAAAGTATTATTTCAAAGATAATTATTTGTTTCTGCATCCTCCATTTCTTCATCCATTTGCACAAATGCCTCCAAATAAACAACTCCCCTCTCTCTTCTTCATCCCATTCCCACCTACAAAACTGTTTTTGCCAAAGTTATCTATGCCATGAATCCCACTAAATGTAGTGGCCAGTTTAAGCCCATGTCTGTACTGACATGTTTGTTGAAAACTATCATAAGCCCTTTTATTCTCCTGCTATCATATCACAGAATACTCTTTCTCAGACTTCCTGGGGAGGAGTTACTTCTCTTTACATGCCTAACAACATTGGAGGCTCAGAGCTCAGAGATCAGTATTTCTGCCTTTTCCCTACTACCTTTAATCTCTTGGAATTTCTTTGGCCTTAAGACTTCAAATACATGTGTGTTGACATACCCACTACCCCTAAACTCCAAGCTCTTCTCTACTTGATATCTAGAAACCATAAGTTTACATGGTTTCACATGCAAATCATTCATCCATGCCTCTACAGGTCTTCTACTATCACCCTGATAAATGTATTACTTCTGGATACTTAGGTCAAAGCTTTACTCAACCTTGTTTCTTCCATTTGTCACAAACCCTGCATTATAACTGTCATCCTTAATCTAAAGAAACAAAATGTAGGCACAAGATAACCAAGTCTCAGAAATTGACAAATTATTCAGCCACTTGCTTGGAAAAAGTGTTAATCATCTCATGCCTGACTGAGTGTGAAAATCTCCAACCCATCTCTGCTTCTTTCTGTTTTCAACACAAGATTCCTAGTGACCCTCGTAAAGTTCACCAATCCAGGATGTGCCCCTGATATAATCACCTCCTGTTTTATCTGGTCTGATTCAGAATAAAAAAAGCAAAGGCTGCAAGTATGCTTAGCAATCTTTATAAAACCTCTTCTTTGTTATTGCCCTTTTTTCCTCAGCACTTTCATCTGAACTGCAAGACCCCCAACTTCCAGTCTTTATAGAATTGAACCTAGATTTCCTGCTCACCAGAAGAATTCACCCCAAATGTGCATAATTGTCTTATCCCTTTATGATCACAATTCAGGTATCACTTTAGCAATAAACCCTCCCTAACTGTGTAGTTTAAACCATATCCTTCATGCTTTATGTTCATTGAGATCAGATACACTGAATAGTTTAATTGTTTTGTGGCTGAATTTCCTGCCTCTTCTATTAGCAAGTTAGCATGGGAGGAAAATTTGGACAGTCCCCTAATAAGTTAAAACACTACATTTGTTCAGTTTCTCAGAATAGAAATCATGGAGCTATTTTTACTTTCCTTGATCATTCATATTAAATATGTCGTCATTTTTGTTGAATTGAAATCCCCAAAATATCTCCCCTATCATTTACATCCATTCTTCCTACATCTACATGATTACATGCAGTCAGTCATCTACTTATAGAGAGGAACGACAACAACAACAATGAAACCCTCAAACACAAAAGCTTCATCGTATGTCCCATGTTTTCCTGCCTCTAACCCTTTCTTTACATATCAGCCAGGCATGTCCTTTTACAGCCTAGGCTGTGGTAAGTCAATGTCTTACCTGAAGAACTCCAGTGACATCCAAGTTTTCTAAGACAATCATTCAGGCCCCGTTACAGAAAAAAACCTTTTATACCCTGACTTCTGCTTACTATCCCAACCCAATACTCTAATATTCCTCGTCTTGATTTAGAACAAGAAGTGTACTAGAAACCTTTCATTCTCAAAATCATACCAATCTATTGTCCATTTATTAACCTTTTATTTGCTTATTTGCTGAGTTGATTTGGTTTTGTTGGTGGTTTGTTTGCACAATAATAACTTTTCTTTTACCCTCCTACCCCTTCCCTCCTGGCACCCTTTGTTGTCAACTTGACTCTGTCAGCCATCATCTTCATGTTTATTTTCTCTCCCAGTTTATTTTCTCTCATGATACTACTAAATTGTCCCAGAGTATTATCATTTGCTCATTTTATCTTTGCTCCTCTTATCTCTTTATTTTGCTTAGTTAGAAGTAAAATAATAGAAGGTCAATTTTGGTTCAAAATCCTGTTATAGGAACCACACATTATTCCTTTTACATATTACTATTTGCATACTGGTATAACAGAAGAATCAATAAATGACTCTGGAAATGAAGTTTTATCTTTCTATTCCTCTATTTGAAATATTCATCCCATCTATGATTATTAATTACAGTTTGACATTCAATCAATAAAGCTGGCACACTACTTGGGAATTTTCAGACTGAAATACAGACCATCTGAAAATAGCATTGTCAGGGCAAGACACCAAGTTCACCTAAGTGAATATGAGTTTCCATGTTTTCTTCTCCATTTGAAATATTATTAGAAGTTTGTGATAAAAATATCTTATTTTTCTCTTGTGGATGTTGTAACTACTTATTTATCCTTAACCAAATAACAAGATGTATTCAGGACAATTAATCTGACTGTTAATATTCAGTATTACTCAAGGAAGCCCTGAAGATGGACATACCAACAGCTGTATGACTAAATATTTGAAGATGTGGTGTGAGTTGTGACTTCGTCAATTATTAGTTTTACTTATTTTGGACAATTCAGTGGAACTTCTTCCAGCCTCATCTCCAGCAGAGGGATGATGCCTGTCCTGAACTTCTCTATTTCTGTAATAATCTTATTCAGTATTACACATGAAAATATTTTTAAGACCACAAAGAACTCCAGTAGTATGAAGTCCTGTGACACTAGTGAGCAGCCTTGCCAAATTGGTGACAGTCTTTTGTTTCCATATCAGAAAGATTATGGAAGAAGATCAAAAGCAACCACCTATATTAAAGTGTTGATTATTTTGGATTAAGTACCCTCAAGAGCATTACATGTCCCTTAGATAAGTGAAAAATGAGGAAGGACAGGATTCCTAAACTATCTTCCCGTGGCCAGTTATGTAGTCTTATAAAGCCATACAACTGTGTTCAAAGTGGACAAGAGATAGAAGGAATGACTTTCTACTTCCTTTGTGACAAAGTCAACTTGGTGCCCCTTCTAAGCAGGAACAACCATGTCAGCATGATAGGAATTGACTCATCAGAAGTTGAAAGAGCTCTGCCCTTCAGAAGTCCATTCCAGCTTTTCTCAACTGTCCTGCTCTTCTCACCTTTCCCCTTTCCTTCCCCTATGGGACAATGTGGAGACAAGAGAGAGGAGTTCCTGGAGGGATAAAGAGAAGAGAAACATTTCAGTTCCCTTTATCTCCCCACTGCAAGCTGTGCTGCTGAGTTAAAAATACATAATTTGGTTTCCAAATCTATTTCAACCTCTGCCT